GCAATTTGGTGCAAAGGTTTAACGTGCAAGATTTCAAACTTTTTCTTCAAAATTAAAAAGATTTTAAAAAATAATAATCGAAAACTAAAGCCAAACACGGTGGGCGAACAAAATAAATCGGAAACTTAAAATTCAGGAACTCCAGCTCTTCGAACCAGCGAAGCCCCGGACTTGAACACCGTTCTGAGACGCAGGGTGATGCTCTCCCTGCTTCTTGCATGCCAGCATCAGCACCGCATCCTCGTCAAGATGAGGAGTAAAGCAGCCAGTGACCCCCTTTTTCACTGCAAAGGGGACGGGGGGGGCCCCCCAGCGAGGCCATTGACTAGATTTCTTCCGATTTGGTACAACAGGCCGGTCAACGCGAAAAGTGTCGGTCCTCCCTGCTTCTTGCTCAAGACCCACAACTATCAGATCAAACAGCGAGCAGCAGCAGCATGTAAACCCCTCCGCTGCAAACAAAGGGGGGGTCAAACGTTTGTCGTCAATTCACTTCCAGGCAGAAAAACCATTTTCCTCAAAAGAAACAATTTATTTAGAATGAAACAAAATCAGCTCAACTGTGAGCGCATGTTTTGAGTGACAGCTACTTTTAAGCTGTGTGAGCCATAAAAAGGGTATTCCTTTACTTTTCCAGCAATCTTGTGTACACAGCACAAAGCAAAGAGGTCATTTTTTTTTTTTCCACTTAAAACACGGGCATTGGCATCACAATAGCAGATACACAACTTTTTTTTTTTTTTAAAGCTGCCATTTTAGTAAAATGCACAAATACTAAACAGATAAGCTTTCTTCCATCAAGGGGCCCATGTAAATTCCACACAAGCCATAGCTTCTCTTCCCAAAGGTCCATTAGAGCTTGGTATCCCGTGCGGTTGTCTTCTGCAGTCCACCAGCTGTGCTTGCAGGAGGAAAGAAAACGTTATTTCAATGCAAATGTATACAACAGCTTTTCTTTTTCCCCCTCCTTACGTTATACAGATGAACATAAAGAGCTACAAGGCCTTTCTGAATATTATACTTGGACTTGAAAAAGCACCAATACCACCCACAGGCACAAAAGCCCAAACCGAAGTCACCTTCTGTGTATAGATGCATAACAGGTAATGCAGGGCTGCTTTTTGGACCACGGTTCAACTAGGCTCACAGTACTGATGACCACTCAACTTCCAGTAACAGTTAATGGGACACATCAAAATCATTAACCATGAGAAAAACCAACCGAATTGTCAGCAATTTGGTTGACTTTCCTCGAAGAATGCTTCCTGAAGGCAACTTAGCAACTAAAGTATGAAATGTAGTGTTACACCTTTCTCTTTTGTTCTCATTTTGCTGCATAATTCTAACAACGGACAACTCCAAGAGTAAAGAAAAGGTCAAATCAAAGACACACCGAGTAGAATTTCAAACTGTTACTATTCAAGTAATATTTCTCATCCATCATTTTCACACAATCAAAACTGCATGAAGTTGAATATCCAATTAACCATTCTCTGAACCATGCGGCCTGCTTTAAGCCTAATACAAAAATCATCTCCTCATTCAGCTTATAAGTCACTGGAAACCTGTCCTTTGGTGCTATCTGCAGAAAGTAACAAAAAACGGGGGAGACAAAGGGGAAAGAACCCCAAAAGCTCTAGTCACATGGCAATCATTTCTTCCACTCCTGTGTCAACACACAGCAGACTCCCCAGGAGTACTGCCCTCAACACTGTTTTTCTTAAAAAGCCAGGAACGACGATTTTCCAAGCCATTTTTCCCTGAGTCCTCAGAGTTTTTGAACCTGTCTTCACAATTTTGATTCACCCCTCTTTATTAACACCCAAGGCCTTTCACCTCAGTCACCATCAACCAGATGGTTCCCCCAGCCAACGCAAGAAATCCAAACCTCTCCGCCCTCCACAGGGGGCTGAGCAATTGTCACCCTGACATCGGAAGCCTTTAACATCCAAAAACCAAAGAGAGAGGGGAAGATTTGGCCGCCCATCACGCTAACGCCCTTCTCTCTCTACGATGGTTACAAGGATGCGGCGGTACGCGCGACCCAGGAGCCCGAAACCTCCGGAGTTGAGGGCAACCCCGACGTTCGTGCCGGGTAAGAGCGGACCATCCAAAGCCGCTGGCCGGCAGCCAAGTAAAGCTTCCAATTAAAAAAAAAAGGAAAAAAACCCACTAAAATCTTAAACAAAAGTATGAGTCATTTGAGGTTCTTTCCCCAAAGCACAACTATGAAATGATTCTGGAAAAGGACATCCTTTTGCCACGTTAACCCAACAAACCAATGAAATACTGAGCGCTCGCCAGAGCAAGGTAAAGCCAAATGCCGGGAGAGCGCCACGTGGGCCTTGCCCTATGCAGAAGTGGTATTACACGTGGACTTCTACTCGCATCCAGCCCTGGCCAAGACAACTTTCAGCGGACAGTTACTCCAACGGGGCACACTTGGGAGAAAAGCACGGCCGCCCAAGCCGCACCAGCCTTGATGTCAGCACGGGAACCGGCATGAAAGAAAAATGTTGCCAGTCAACTGTGTTTTGACATTAAGAACCCTCAAAGGGTGTTAAAATCCTTGCTTACAAAACAGAGCAGCAACCACAAATAAACCAGATTTAAAGAAGCAGGTACTCCATTACATAAGGAACCAGAAAACCCGGAGTCAAATACAGCCTCGCCTGTTCCATATTACCCTCCAGCACAATTCTGACTCATAAAAGCCCGTGGCAGGTGTAACCACCGTTATTTTACAAGGAAAAAAATGGAAATGCACCTAGGATGCTCTTTCCAAAAGGGTTCCCACGCTGAGTTTGCTTTGACAAGCTATGTTGACCACAAATGTTATGGGTTTTAAAAGCAGGTGCCTACTGCATGTCAGCATAACACACACCATTCTAAGTGTTGACCACAACGTTAGTGCTTCTTCTTTTTTTTTTTTTTTTGGTTTAGGGCATATTGGAATTCCCGGTGGTTCGATTTTCTTCCCTTTAAAGCGACTCGTGTCAGACGCAAGGATGAAAACTCGCTCGGAAGGGGAGCGACACTTCAAGGGAGTTAGCGGCAGGAAGTGTTGATTACCTGCTGACACACAACAGACACCTGCCAGAATCACAGCAGACATTCCTTGCAGCAAGTGGTAAACACGCCGTATCTCCTACAACACAGTTATTTGCGCTAGCGGTGCCATTCCGAAAAGACCCTCGTTGTTAATAGTAAGATGAACAGCTGAATTCTGCCAGCTATTACATTCATGCTGAAGGACAACCACCCAGAAAATCCTGGATTTTACCCTCAAAACATTTTAAGAGCATTAAATGAGGCTTTTACGTTTCCGTTTAGAAAGAAAAATAGCGATAAAAACAAAAATCCGTTTTCAAGATATGCTGCCACGTTCACGTTCTCCGTGATGCTTGGGATGCTACACCTGCTCCTTCCGGTCAGGCGAGGGAAATCAAAGCCCTCTCTGACGAGTGGCTCAGTAAAGCGGCACTACAGAAACACGTATTTGTGACAGCGAAGCTCCAGCAAGTACAGTCACACTGCAGAACCGTGAAGTTCTGAATAAACACCAAGCACGTTCAAGAGGTTTCCTCCTTCACGTACTATTCAACTACGGTGTTGTGCAAGCTGGAACAGAAATCAACTTCCCCGGCATCAGCTGCCCGAGGAACACAGCGGAGGATCGACCGAGTGAAGCAGCACCGCTTTTACCCTGCCCAAGTCTCTGAAAACGTGGCTAAGTGCAAGACTACATTCTGGGTTTAAGTGCAAGGTTACGGTTTTGGGGCCTGTAAATAGACACAGTCAGTTTTACACTTCAGTTTAGAAGCTACCTGCAACCTCCTTTTGGTTGTTAAATAAAACAACAGGGATTTAGATCCCTTTTTCCTGCCTAAAGGCCTGTTTTAGCAAGGTGGCCAAAACAGCTGGAGAAAAGTGCCCAAGGAGTGGGGAAAAAAGGGTGAGAGAAAATGAACTAAGTTCTTGGGGGGGGGAAAAAGCAAACTGCTCCCTCCTAGAATCACAGGAGGAAGAGCTCAAACCTCAGCACCTTGGAGCACTTTTTAATACTTCTCCAAGGTGCTAAAAACGCTTTACTCCAGGTGCCTATAAAATGATAAACCTCATGTAATGCCCAGTACTGTACCTGAAAAGTCCCTAGCAGACAGCAGTTTCTTGCTATTAACAAAGAGGTAAAACATTAATGAGAACTTTCATGTAATTAAATTATCACAGAATTAAAACCATCTCTGGAGAGAAGCACGCTTGCTCAGAGTTTGCACTGTGGAACCGGACCCCACTGTACCTGCAACTCTTTGGGGGAAAAACAAGGCAGTAAAAACAAAAAACCACAATAAAGTTATTCTTCAAGCACCTCCTTGTTTCTTGCATACCAGAGTAAGCACAAGACATTCATGGTTTGTAACAAAGTCCTCAGCTATTTACCAAACATTGTCACTGCTACAAACCCAAAGTGCATATATGGGATACAACAGAACGGGGAGAAATAGGGTAAATACACCTGTTAAAAAAGCATACTTTCAGTGCATGCATTTGGAGGGGCTGGATGACATTATCGAACAGCCAATAAAGGAATTCAGCGTTCTGCAGCGTACCCGAGAGCAGGTGCTGGTCACCTGAAAGCCACCAACCTCGAGCCGTGCAACCCCAAGGGAAACCATTCAGGCTCCGGAGGCAAGGGAGCACATGGGCCCAAGGGGCCGCTGGCCCGAGGCCGACACCGAATTTCAAGGACTGGAAAAAAGGAGTTGACACCAGTTGGCTAGCGAGCACGTGGTTCTCCATTTAAACTACTGAGCGCTTTAAATCTGGTCGTTTCGGTTTGTAACTCTATCGAGGATGAACTATTGAACTTGCTTTAAAATACATGAAATGAAAAAAGGACACGAATCAAAAAATTAAGAAGACGGGAGTTCATTCTTTTCCCCCCCACCCCCCAGTTTTTGTTTTTCTCTTCTTTTTTTTTTTCTTTTTTTATTGTTTTATGTAAATCAAAGCAGGCCTCGCCTCCCCGCTATCCCCACTGAGATGGGAGTCTCAAAATACCCTATTCACGCTAACGGCTAACCAATCCTTCTGGCTTCTAACCTTATAGAAAAATGTCGTAACAGAAAAACAGGCAGGGAAAGTCACCTACAAACAAAGATCTAATTTAAAATAACGACAGGGCTGGCTAAGGCTGTATCCCATAGCACCTGGCACACGCTGGAGGGGCTGTGTGGAGGAGTAGGCAGGGTTGGGTACAGAGAACACGAGGGCCTTAGGACGCCCCACGGACAATGATCATGACCAGATAGTCGTCCTCTGATTTGGCCAGCGCCTTGGCCGTGGAGTCCAGGAACTGCTGGGAGAAATCGCAGGGTGGAAAGGCGTGCAGGACCCCGCTGTTCTCCTTGTCTTTGTTACCCCCCACGGGGAGGCTGATCACCCCAGCAGCCTGCTTTTGCTTTAGATAGGACACCAGATTCCTGAGCGGCCTCTGGGTGGAGGTGGTGGTGGCCTCGGCAGCTCCAGCTGCAGAGCGGTTGTCTGATGCACCAGGCACAGCCAAAAGGATGGCGTAGCCTTTGGGACCCGCAACTTTGATGCGACGATTGACCTCGTCCAGTTTGGGCTGGTCCAGACGAAGACGCTGGGTGATCTTGAGCTGAGCTACTTTCCCCCCAGTCGCTCCCTCCACGAGGAGGCTGCTGGCAACGCCGAGGTCCCCCTGAAGCAGATGCATATTGGACGGGAAGTTGCTGTTCTTC